AAATACTAGTCAATTTTTAAATATTTAATAGTTATAAAAATCAATATTAGATAATATTTAATAATTATAAAAAATTATTGATACTTTTGAAAATAATTAAGAAAATAAATTAGGAGAGAGAAAAAAAAGGAAAAAAAGAGAGCAAAGTAGGGAGAGAGAAAATAGACTATTAAAGATGGAAGAGAGAGACAAAAAGAAACATGAGAAATGAAAGAGTAAAAGATAAAATATATAGGTAAGATAAAAAAAGAAAAATTACGAAGAATTTTGAATTTACTTTTTTGGACAAGTTTGAAATTTTACTGTTTTAAAGAATTTCACAAACATTTAAATTTCAAATTCTTCATCTAAATAAGACATTTCACCCCAAAGTATTTGAAATTCTTCAAAAAGATGAATTATTTCATTTAAATTTTTCATTCAAACACACTTTAAAAGCATTTCATGCATTAGAAGTATTTCAAAGACAAATAATTACCCATGTGAGATTCATATCAAATGTTTGAATGTTTTAACATTAATTTTTTTTATTAATTGTTTTTATTTCTTGCATTTCTCTTTCCCATGTTTGGGAATATGTGGATGTAGTTGCCTTCCACATCAATTCCTTTAATTTCTTGCCAAAATGTCTTTTTTCCTAAAATTATTATACAGATGTTTGACATAAAGTTTCTTCAAATTGATTCATCCCAACATCTTGTTTAGGTTTTACAAGTACATCAAATAAATAAAATTCAACAAAATAAAAAAAATGAATTTATTGTCACCATCACCAAAATGGATACTACAATGACTATCCTCACCTTTTTTTATCATTACTTACCATAGGCCCAAAGCCATCACCCTCCACAAGTCCGCTACCATTTACCACAACAAGCCCATCTGCCATCATAGGCCGACTGCCATCACCCACCACAAGGTTAGTCTTATCACCCTCCACAAACATAGTTTCTTCTACCCATACAGGACTAATTTCATTTACCCCCACAAACCCATTTTCATCTACCCCAACAACCCATCACCTTCCAAATTAGGCCCAATGTCATCAATTGTTGCATCTCCAACTACAAGTAATTTTTCAATTATTTTAGCTTGAGACATTGGATATAAAACATACAATCTAATTTTCTCATACTTCATTGTTATATCTATCATCTTTATAACAATCATATCATCAAACCTAATTTAAGTCTATTTTCAAAGTCATCACCTCCAACAAAATACTACATTCAATCTACTATGAGGTATCTCATTTCCTTTAAAATATAAAAAATTTCAAAGTAACTCCATCTATCTAAGTCATATTTCCATGTGGAATCATAACTCGGATAGTCTGACTCGCCTTTATTCACAAACTGACCTCCATGATGCACAATTACCTCAAAATAATCATCCACATCAAACAACTCTAATATATTCAAATCCAAAAACATAAACATTTTAAAATTAACTCGTTGTCATGCATATTTAAATCAAAGGATAAACGATTATACATTGTTTCATGTCAAACATATAAAAATAATAACATAAGGGACCATATGTATGTACTGTATCAATGGAAAAGGAGAATATGTACTATATCAGTGGATCAACAGACAAAAACAATTATAGACAAATGCAAATACATGTGGACCAAAGGATGACAATAATAAGTGCAAAGGGAGCATATGTTTGACAAAAATTGGACCATAAGGGCACAAAATAGGCATGATCACAATAAAAATATGAACACAATGGACCACACAGTAAATCACACACACCAACCTTTCAAGGACACAACAAACCCATTGAACAAAAGAAAAAAGTAAGGAAAATAATAATATATGATAATATAACACACAAAGAGGGAAAACTCAAATAAAATTGTAACAAAAAATCCTAACACTTACCAAATGCAATTAAACGCGACACAACCCCATTCACCAACAATAATCACCCTTTTCTTGCATTCCCTAAATGCGAACAAGCGTGACCTAATTCATCAAATGCAAGCGTCTTTTCAATGTTCTTATTCTCTCCACCTATGGAACCTGTTCAAATCATTATAGGATGAAATTTTTAGATCTCTAATTAAAACTCTAAAGCAAAAACATTGTCATTTAACTAAAAATCACTTAAAATAATTACAATAAATTTACATTATATCAACATAGACATCATCATTAATTATTTAAACAAGACTAATAAAAATTAATTTAAACTGTGATTAAATTGACTCATTTAATAATAGTGAAAATAAATTGAAACTAAAACATAATTACAAGAATTAAATAAATAATTTAGTGTAACAATATTGATTGGCAATTATTTGATATTGTCTATCAAGAAGATAGTGGTGAATCTTCAATCAAAACATGAAGATAATCAATAAGAAAGACAATGTAATAATTAATAAAGTCAAATCTTTAAATATAAATACAATGTAAAAAATCAAAATTTATATTTTTTTGACAAGGTTATTTGTTATTCTTTTTATTTTTTAATATTTTATCATTTTAGACAAGCTCATATTATTATTATTATTGTTGTTATTTATCAATTTTTGACTTTTTAAATTTATACATATTAAGATTATACAATAAAATTAGATGAAAAAAAATCATAAAGCAAGAAGAATTATACTATACTAAAAGAGCAAAACAACTTTACAAAATTTTAAAGTTTGACACCAAAAATACCATCATGATCATGTACTTTTCGTTAAAAATAATCAATAAATATCATTATACTAAATGAGTAATGACTAATATAAATAAGAAATTAATTAATTTTCTTGAATTATTTTCCTTTTTAATTTTAACAATTATAGTTACGTATTTCAATTAATATATCAAATTTAATATTGACGAATCTATTTAACAATAATAAATTATGTTATTAATATATGACTTAAAATTTGTAGTAAAACAATTGCCTGACCAGTACAAATAAATCACAAAAATTAGTTTGGCGAAAAATTGGTTAAAGAATAAAAAAATCAGCAAAAAATTCTTAAGAATAGGTCAAAAACTAGCAATGTTTGTCACTCTTGAAGATTTCACTAACTTGCAGTGGGAAAATTATAACATGTTAAACTATTTATCCTTCTTTATTTATTAGAGAGAAAAATACCTCACAATATGGTAGATAGTTATTACTCTCAAGGTGGGTTATTAAATGTAGTTTTAAAAAAATATTACTAGATAATTATAGGGTAGTAATTAGACTACTGAGACAAACTATATTTCTTAAGGGACTATCCTTAACAATGTCTTTTTGAATTTTCTATACCTATCATGAATATAATTTTTGTGAAAAAAAATTAGTGCATGTGAATTAAGTGGATGAATGTGATTTTCTTATGTCTATCCATTTCATATTTTGTTTACTATTTAATTTGGCTTTCATATATTCTTAATACACAAAAAAACTATATATAAGTTAAATTTTATCCACTTGAACTATAAAATTTAATTTGTCATCATCATACGTGAAAAATTATTGCCATAATTTTTTTTTGGATATATTGATAATCATTGTATTATTTAAAGTTATTAAACACTACAAATTATTAAAGTCAAAATTATTTAATAATGTAATCTCTATTAGATTGTTTTAGTACGTAGTTGTGGATAACTTAAATCTTCTTATAGAGATTAATTATCAAATTTTTGCATTAAAATAATATTAGAAACAATTTTCTTTAACTCTAAATATTTGGATACTTAGTTAAGCATAAGTTGTACTAATAAAAGTTGCATCACTAAAATACTCGTCATTCTTATACGAACTATATTAAAAATTACAGTCTAAAGATAACTGTTTAAGAAGTAATTCCAACAGTGGACGTGCCGGAGTGGTTATCGGGCATGACTAGAAATCATGTGGGCTCTGCCCGCGCAGGTTCGAATCCTGCCGTCCACGTTTTTTAATATTGGATATTTTTTTTCTATGAAAAAATAAATGAGCATTTTTTTAAATAAAAAAGTCAATAGTTATATTTTATAATATATATATATATATTTGATTTTTTAATATATTATATTATATATATGAACATAATATATATATATATATATATATATATTTCTATTTTACCGTTAAATATATATTGGTGGAGAAAAATATAAAGTCATACAGTATAACATAAGAGTATAATTATCTTTTAAAAAAAGTGGATTTTAAAAAGAGATATCTTATTTATATATTATTATAATTTAATTATTTGTAGAAAAATTATAAATTAAAAAAATAATTTAATTTTCATGTATTATTAATATAAAAAAAATATTTTCAACCAATTAAAATTCATGCTAAAAATAAATTTTAAAATAACTATTACAAAAACAAATTTTATTAATATATTTAAGATTAAATTTATTCTTAATTAGATTCCAGTATAATATTGTATAATATTATACAATCAGATGAAAATATTTTTATTTTTTTTGAAAGGAAGGGGCTACCAGATAAAAATCATACTATTGATATATTTAAATTAAGTTTTTAATATAAAATACATTTTTCATATATTTTTATATATTTAAATAATTTATTTATATATATAATTTATTATAAATTTTAATTATATATAATAAATATGTATTTACATACACAAACTAAAATACTAGTTGATTATTGTAGTCTTATGAATCCATCTTTTTAAAGGAAAGAAATAAATTCTCTTTTCTCTTTTCTTTTTCTTCCATTCCAAAACCGAAAAGTCTACACGACCATCTTTTCTCCTTCATTTTTCTTTTATTTACTTATTTTTCTTTTATAAAAACTGCACACTCTCCTTCTTGTTTGTGTTTTTCTCAAACATTTGAATTCATGAAATATTTAAAATGTATTTAAAAAAGACGTACAATCGATTATTGTTATCATGAATTATAGTTAAGATAATTTTTTGTTTAGTTAAATTTATAAAATGATTTTAAGTTATTTGATTTTGTTTAAATAAAAAAAAAACTTTTACAAAACAAATCAGCTCTAAAAAAAATTGTTAAAAAATAATCATTAACTTCATATTTTCAGATATATGAAAATAGTTTATTCTTTAGAAAAAAAAATAAAGTTTTTTTATTTTACAAATTTTAATAGATGTTTTAAATATATAGTATTTTCTTTCTTTCTTAATTTATGAAATTCACTTGAGGTGTTTCAACAAGTTTTCTCATCCAGGCCCGGTCAACTTACTATATCAGGTAAGTACTTATTATGAGGTTTAGTCTCCACGTGTAAAAAATGAGCCTCTAAATTTTTTTACAGTGCAAGAACCACGGAACCACGCTTCATTTGGTGTTAAAATTATGCCTATGATTTATTAACCACAGAAAGAACAAATATAAAAGCAGAGTCATTTAAAAAGAAGAGGCAATTAAGTTGCAAAAACAGGGAAGGAAAGTAGTAACAGAAAATACCTATGCCTGAACGCACCTACAGACATGTTGATACCACCAGAACTCATACCATCGGTAGCGTCGAACAATTCCTCCGAGGTTATCCTTTCTCAACACTCAACAATATATCATGCCTTTAGACATACACAAAAACAATGCTTAATCATGTTAACCTATTTACTAACAAAAGGTTGTGTCACTTTCATGATAAGCCATGCATTAATGTGTATAAATGAGAAACAATTGTCATTTTTGATACTCTATGTAGATGTAACCAAAGATACCAATGTTTGATTAATGATATGACAAATAATCCATGGACACATGAAAAATGTTTGATTAATGATATAAAAAATGATCCTGATTGCAGGTACAGGAGGAGATTCTTCGAGGATGTCATCATCGTACTCTCCCACGTCCACTAATTCCCCTTCCTCTCCTTACTTTGAGAGGTTGAAGCAACATGATCCCGAAGACGACCATGGCCTCTATCAGAAGAAATCAGTTCTCACCAAAGTCAAGGAGAAGGCCAGGAAACTCCGCAACAGCCTCAGCAAGAGAAGACTCGACGAAAATTTCACACCCTCCTGGGGTGTTAGCTTAGATGATGATCATGATGAGGAAGAAGAAGTAGATGCCGAATACCTTGGAGCTCCAAGTAATTAATATATATAACACATAGATATTCATGTAGGCCTTTAGTTTATGTTCTTTCTTTTTGATATATATAACTCTTGTGTGAACATTACATTTCAGTGTATGAATCAGAGCTGGCACCTGAGGGATACAAAGAAAATGCAAGGCAACATCCAAGAGCAAATCCAGTAATATCTGAGAAGCATGTTTTGCACAACACTGTCAAACTAGGAGTGGAACATGATCGAGAGAAGCCACGTGTCATGAACGCCACCACAACTCCAAACATGTCACAAGTCTATGGTGGAGGGTCAAATGCAGCAGCACTTTCTTTAGCCTCAAAACTTCAAACTGCTGTTTCCACACAAACTCCTGCCAACATTAACACTTCCTCCCAGACTTCATCACTTCAATCTCCAATGCGAAATTCTCCATCCTCAACTGTCTCATTGATGAGTGGCAGGAATACAAACCAAAGGGATGCTTCATTCAGTGATTATTTGATCAACCAACCTGACCAAGGGGATGATGCCAATACCACTTTGTCTCCAATGCAAAATTCACCATCCTCATCTGCTTCAATATTGAGTGGGAACCAAAAGGGTGTTTTAGTCACTGATTATTTGGTGAACAAGTCTGAACAAGAGGATGATGCCAAAACTAATTTGTCTCCAATGCAAAATCCATCATACTCATCTGCTTCAATATTGAGTGGGAAGAATATAATCCAAAAAAGTGCTTCAATCAAAGATTATCCAATGAACAAGTCTGAGCCAAGGGATGATGCCAAAACTGTGCCTTCAATATTGCAAAATTCACTATCCTCATTATCTGCTTCATTGAATGCAAAGAATATAATCCAAAAGAGTGCTTCAATCAAAGATTATCAAATGAACAACACTGAGCCAAGGGATGATGCCAAAACTACTTTGTCTCCAATTCAAAACTCATCAACCTCATCTGCTTCATTGAGTGGAAAAAATATAATCCACAAGAGTGCTTCAATCAAAGATTATCCAATGAACATATTTGAGCCAAGAAGGGATGATGCCAAAACTCTGTCTTCGTTGCAACATTCATCATCCTCATCTGCTTCATTGAGTGGGAAGAATACAAGCCAAAAGAGTGCTCTTCTTAGAGATTATTCAATGAACAAGTCTGAGCCGAGCGATGATATGAAAACTGTAGTGTCTCAGCCTCAGGTAACATCTGAAGCAATGAGTCCAAGGAAAAGTTCTAATAATGGAGGTGTGTTGGAAAAGGTGAAAGGAGCTGTGAATTCATTGCTCGGGAATGAGGAACCATCACAACAATATGGAGTCAAAATTGCTACTAAACGCAATTCGCCTCAAACTCCGCAAGGTAAAGCACTGTCATTATATGATATCATATGATCCATAATTCATATCTGTTTGATACTATCATCTCTTTATTTTTTCAAGCAAACTATTTTGTCGCTACAGAAAAACCATAATTCATATGATCCTTCCACATTTTGCAGTTGGTCAGGAAGAGAACTGTGGCAGAATTCTACAGGCAAATTAATATTCCACTAGAGTTGTCCTTTATACATTTGTGTATATGATTGCGTGTATCTAATATGTACTCTCTTTTTTTTATTATTTTTTTTTAGCATTTTGTGTATGTATCTAATAATAATTAGACTGGAAAGATCATTTCCAATGTTGTGTAAACTTAATTTGTATGGAATAAACTCTGTACCATGATTATCCACACACAAAAATGTGTGCAGTGTTCACTTTCGTTAATTAATACAGAAGGATTCATCAGAAAAACACAATTGTCACCAACATGTTTACATTGGTTGATTATGGCTTTAATGTTGGTGGTATGGTTGATCTCCAAGATGAAGAGAACAAAATAGAGAAGGAAAACAATTAGTGCACAAATTCATTCCAAGGTGTGGATAAGTATTTGTATTTCTTTACCCTGGATTTAAATTAGGTTAAAATGATAAATTTTCTTTAAAATATAATAAAGTCCTTGGTTTTTTTTTTTTTGTTTTTTTGGTATAATTACAATGTATAACTCCCTCCCACTAGGTGGATCCATATAAGAAGTAAAATAATACATTCAGGTGTGACTTTATGTCTAAGACAAAGTTTGAATTTAGATTCTTAGTTAAAATACATAAATATCAAATTATTTATATTAACAACTTTTGATTCTTTGAGTATGTTTTTAACTCTTAAGACTTAAGTTAAAACAATAATGGTGTTTTACATAATAATTTTTTTTAATCTTTTATGCATAAAAAAAAATGAATTTATATATGCATTTAGAGACTCTAAGCCTATCATATTATCGAATACTCTTGCAAACACATTTGCATATATATCCATGAAGAGATATTACCATTTTAATTAATTGTTGCTTATTTAATGAATAATCACGGTATTTCAATTTATTTATTCGTATAAGAACATTTTTTTCTCAAATTGTTTAGAGTTTAATAAACATGTATTGTCACTACAAACTTTTTTACACTACCGATTAATTAAAAAATAATCTTTAATATGACTTTTTAGATAAATATTATAAAACTTAATAAATTCATCATACATGTTGTAAAAAAATTATACAATAAATCTATTATTTATTCTTGTGTTTATAACTAACTTGGTGGAAAATTTATAATTATTGGAATATTTGAATTTAAACAAAACAAGATATAACTGTTCAATTTTTATGAAAAATCATATTTTTTTCTTTACCAACACTTTATTGATCTAAATAGTATTAAACTTTGTTCCTTTAAGTAACGTTTCAAGTTCGAGTCTTGTTTATGAAAAAAGAAGTGATTGAAAGAGAAGACTAAAAGTGATTAGCTAGATTTTTCGAGAAAGATTTATCATCGGTAAAATTAATGGATACTCCGTACTAATAACGTGGTTATCAACTTTTTGTTTTCAAAATTATCTCACACTTAGTTATTGAGCTAGTAATTTGTTCCCAAATTATTTGTAACAAGTATTTATTTTTTCCACTTCACAATGTCCTAATTTATGATATGACTTTAATTAACATGATTTTTTTAATATAATTTATTCATTTAATTGGTTGGAATAAGTATATAATCCCAAACCAATGTAAAACAATTATTTTTTATTGGTAATATTTTAGTCGTTTGATAATCACTGGTTGAAAGAAGTTAGATTGATCTCGATCTCAAGTCGTTAAAAGTAAAAAGATTTAACTAATTGTGTAATCATAAACACTTAATAATTTACCAATATTTTAGATGGATTTAAGTTGTAAGAGAAATATAAAAAAGAAAATGTAAAGAACGAAAAGCGATATATATGAATAATGTGACAAGAAAGAGAGAGATAAGAGAATAATTGAATAATCCCTAATTGGTTAAGGAAAATTATAAATGTGAGATTGGAAGAAGAGAGATTGAAAGAAAATGATGAGATAAGAGTAGATAGATGAGACTTTGAATGCATGAATATACAAGTACTTGTTGTTTAATTACTCTAACAGGATCGCAGGGTCCTATAGTTGAAGTTGCCATAAAAAGGAGGAAGATGGTATCTGATGCAAAAAGCTCCTCTAAAATAAAATCAAGACTCCGAAACCTTTGATAGTGAGAATAAAACGGCAATAATAGCATTTGAATCCAAGTCAATAAGAATAATGGTAATACTAAATCATAAGACTTTCTTAAGATGCATAGTTCTTCCTTTTCTGATCCGCTGTAAGCAGAGTTTCTGAATTCAAGCGTAAACATAATAATGATCGTCGATATTACCAACTGTATAATCCAGTATTTCAAGTTGCTGATTAATTGTTTGTAAGAAAAAGTGAATTAATGAAAATTGCAACCCTTAAATTTAGGGCCAACAATTTAAACATAAGTTTTTCATACAATTTTTTTAATATAGTTTACATATCTAAATTTTCAATTCTACGCATCAAGGAAAATGAAAGAAACAAATTTAATCTTGTAGCAACTTCATTATACACGTTGGATCGATCACAAATTCATGCATATATAGACGAAAATGTCTTGATTTATGTTATTAAGCCAGCTAAGGTAGGTTTAATTTATTAGAAGAAGTTACTCAAAAACGTTTACATCATATCATAGCTGTAATGTTTCTATATAAGGATCGTCCGTATGAGTGAAGGAGTAGATAGAAACGCGCTCCACATTTCCCGGGAGAAAACATTGAACAAGAACAAGAAACTAAAAAGCAAAGTTTGAACGAGGAAATAAAGGGACATGTGGTCCTACAAAAGCTACAAGCCACCCAAATCTAGTATCATTTTGTTGTTAAGTTACGTTTCAGCTAAGGAAGGAAGCTAAACTTTATACCACCCTCTCTGTCTTGTTCCTTTTAAATATATCATCATTATATTGTTGTCTTGTCTTTAAGAATTAAGAGGGAACATATATATAAATAGTTTCTGCTGCTTGCAACTTGAGGCATGATCATGGAAGTGGAAGACAAAGGCAATGCACGTACGAGGTTACAGAAGCATGCCCCGGCTTCTCTTGACATTCATAAGGTTCTCAGTGATTGTCCCTCTAACCCTTTTGTGGAGGCTTCGAGGGCAATACCGTTGTTATCTCCACTCGTCCTTTCTCCACAACCCGTGTATGCAGACATTATTAGTATTCAAGTTCGAACATCAGAGAATAATGGCAGTGGTAGTATGATTGCATGTGCATCCTCCACCGGTTGGGAACATCCAGCTATGGCTTCATTTCCTGAGCCATCAACTTTGTGCAGTTTCTTCCAAAAGCAATGCGTTTTTGTGAACCATGCACAGTGAAATTATTCAAACCTCTCGTTTCTACCGTTTTTATCTTGTGTCTTCAGACTCTTATTTTATGATTCTAACATGTTTTTAGTGGAGTCTTCGTCGTTCAATTTAATTTAGTGAACTAATTTACGATGTTATTTAGCATTATTGTAGGTTCAATTACAGATGCATTCTTTCAATTCATATGTTACAAGCGTTCCATTTAATTCCAAACGGGACTAAAGTAACAAAAAATCTATTACAATAAAGTCTTTGTTGTTTTCATATCTAAATTATCAAAAACTAAATATATTTACGAGTTATGGATAAATTTATCTTTATACTTTTAAATATTGAAGTGGTTAATTAGTGTGATAAGTTTGAAAAGTGAAATTTACATGAAAGTAAAAAAGAGAGAAAATAAATTAAATAATAAAAATATAGTGGAAGACAAATAATGGTTTAGAGGAAATATATAAGGGTAAAATAGTAAAAAAAAAAAGTGTACATTGAAAAGGAATATTTCTTTTAGTGTATTTTTAGTATATGTATAGATGAAGAAATATAAAGTCAAGAGGCATTGGTGTCTTTAATAAAAAGAAAAATAATAAAGTAGGTGGTTAACTAGAGTGTGAAAAGTTTGAGAAGTGATATTTATAGAAAGATTAAAAAAAATGGTGAAAAGAAATTAAATAAAATATAGTGATGAGAAATAATGATTTCGAGATAGTTATAAAAATAAAATATGTATGCCAAAAAATATATATATACACGGTTGTTATATTCTATTATAGTTATGTGAAAAGACAAATAGAATTGTGTTCATTTATTTATTTATTAACTAAAATGCTTCGTTTTATTTATTTATTTAATTAGTTCAATTTAATTTTTTTATAAAAAACATAATTCCCTTTCTTTTCCATTCAAAAATATCTACTTGTACAACTTTTTTATAATATTGCATGTAAAAAAGTTACCATTATTCCCCTTGATTATAGGAAATGAATGACAATACATCAATTTTTAATATTAAGAAATCAAAAAAAAATTTATAATAAAAAGACTGAATTGAAATTAAATAGAAAATAGTGATTTAACCTTACTTTTTTTAGATAAAACATCAATTAATGAAGCATATATAAAATAGTTATAATATAAATATAAGTTGCTTATTGTTATTATTATTATCATTATTATCATTATTATTGATTTCTCTTCTCTCCTACCAAAAATCTTCAAGTTCTACTGTATTACTTCTCTTTATTTCTTTCTTTACCAAAGAAGGCATAAAGGTAAGTATTCTTTGTTATTAGTATAGATTAAATAAGACGAGCTAGTCAATCAATAGAAAAACATTTTCACGGGGATGAACTTGCTTAACCCAATGATCAAACATTGGCAGTCGATAGAAATGAGTTCTCATTCAAAACTCAGAAGCAGACACGACGTAGACAAGCACACAGCATCCTTCTTGTACAAAGAATACTTGTTGCTATATACACTGCAACATTGTAAAAAAAACTTTTTTAATATTGAAACACCAATGCTAGATTTTCATTTCTTTTACCGTCTACGGTTTCAGATCCTACACGCTAAACATTATCACCCTATTTTTAGAGTCTAAAAGTTAAGCGAGACCTAACAAGCCTAAATAAGCTATCATTATCATACAAGGGATTCTTAAATTAACCAAAATGTCCAAGTACACAGAACTAAAGGAACCACATACTTGACAAATGGTGGGCTTAAGGAACTGCCCGAGTCTCTAACCATCAGGTAAAAGGCCAAAAATTGCTCATTCTCTATGTACAAGGGTCCAACATCAAAACAACAGTCTCGAAAGGGTAAAAGGATTTTCTCTCTTCCTTAATCTTTCACTTAATAATTATAATCAAAGAAAGATCACGAAACACTGAATGACACCTCCGAATCATGCTTCACGAAAGCACCAGCTAGCCCAAACAAAATCAAAAGTCAAACTCCCCTGTCGCCTGCAGAGATCATCCATCATGAGAGTTTGATAAACTGAATTTTGAAAAAAATATCACTATTTGCTCTCCTTCACGAGTAACAAACCTTATTGAAGAGAATGTCCTTATTATTTATGTGCATGATGCCATCCTTTAATGTGCATTTCCACCTGCTCTTGGTACGTGTCACCTAAAGTTGTAGCAAGACAACCCTATTAGAGTCAATAATTATTCAACCCTGAACCTACATCATAATCATATTACTATAGCGCTTGACATCTCGTTCAAAGAAAGTGAAGGGAGGTTGCCACCTTATCAAACTGGGCCAAAACAAGATGATGTGTATTCTGATCCTCTCCTTGTTCCATGTCATCCAAATCATCATCATCTTCTTCATTTAACGGAGGTTCATCATCATCATCATCAAACTCATTTCCCACTTCATTCTGAGCCACGAGAGCAGGGGTGCTTGCTGGTACTTCTAATAATTAATAAGGGAAAAAGAATGAATTAGCAACTTACAGATAAAATGTATAATAAATAACAAATATCTTCAAAATATAATTAACACGTTCTCAATTTACCAGGAGGAGCTGGTGTATTGGAAATATTGTAGTCTTCGGTGAACACTTCTCCATAATTGTATATCTGCAACAGGATGAAATAAACCCAGTAAGATGATGGAAAGTAAAATATGGTGGGGGGGGGGAGTGTCAAATGAAGCATAATGCAGTTAACACTAAAATATATGCAACTATAGTTAGCTGGAATTTTACATTCTAATTTTCTTCTTTTTTCAGCTATATATTAGCCCATCCAATCAATTGTTTTCAAGTACCAAAAGTGGCTTTAAGTTAGGATATAGAAAAGCCATCCCGTTGTTACATAATCAACTAATTTAGGTTCCAAATTATATTACAATACACATCTTGAATTCAAAATGCAACCACTTAAAGAATTCAAAAACATATGTAAATCCCTTAAATTCCTTTTTGAGTTATACAGTTCCTCTGAATTATAGTCACAGTCATTCTGTTTTATCAATACGGGTTAAACCAGGGAAAATGGAGCTCATATTTACACTGACTAAACAGACACCCATGTAAATGGGAGTACTTAAAACTAAGATTTTTCTCACTACTCAGAACTTGCTAAAAAGATCTACTTCTGAACACATACACCTAATAGTCCATTTCTTTTATAGTTTTGCAACAAAAGAATGGCTCAGATTATGAATGAGAACTCATTAAATACAAACAAAGTGGTTATTGAAACCTTTAACATTGAATGTTGTTATTAATTTCCAAAAATTGAAAGCTGAAGGGTCTATCTACCAAGAACTAAAAGGGGATGGTATGCATTTTTCACAAAATTACAACGGACAACAGGAAATTAAAATTGAAGTAAACAATGGCTCCTTTTGGATAAACTTCTTCATAAAAACTTATAAGAAAAGAAAATAAGAGAAGACTAAATAAGTTTTTTTTTTTCCATAAGCTAAATAAACTTCTTCATAAACACTTATAAGAAAATTAAATAAGAAACAGTTCCATGGAGAAGCTAAAATGAGAGAGATTATTCAAATGTATTTCATGAGTGCAGGAAATTGAGGACAAGTATCACTACTCACATTTGGAGTAGAAAGCACATCATCATCATATGGAATTGGTCCATCAAGTTGAGGAATCCTAGAAGTCGACCTCTCCAAATCTACTTGCATTTTTCCTTTGGAAATAGTGGAATTTGAATTAATGGAGATTTCCCCTCCATTTACCTGAAGGATTGATCTCCAAGAGTTTAGCAACTTGATAAACACTTTACATCAACCAAGCAAGTCAATGAATTAACAAACAGAAATTAAGCATGCATGTGCACTGTAAAAACCAACAGAACAATAAATAGTAGGATGGGAAAGAAGCTAGCAATTTAAACTTCTCAATAAAGCTATCTGAACAGAATGTCCATACTGCAGATCATTGTGACAGTGAATGCTTATTACTTTCTTTAAAAGGACAGTAACGAATTGTATTGAACAGAACAAAAAAGGCATGTGATTTGAAGGATTTGAACTAGTATTAAAACATTCATACAGGTGACAAATTGTTAGTGTCAGTTTTTCTTTCATTTTGGGGGTTAAACTCTAAAGTGGGCCTTCATAGTTTTGATGTGGTTGTTGAAGAAATCATTATTCATTTGAGTTCATGGTTAACTGCCACTAAATGGAAATATGTTACAAACAACTTCAGAGATTCCTGCATTATCTACACCATTTTTTTTCCAAATTTACAGATGCAATGTAGGTATATGTGGCAACACTTGCCCCCTCCAACTTGTCCCAACCCATGGAGACCCCAATTTGAGAAAAGATGGGGAAGTAAAGTACCTCTGAAAAGCACTTTACACTTTCCCGGGATGGCAAGACTTGCTTTTACCATCTCTCATGTCCCGTCATCTTGTCTCAACCCCACCCCACAAATAAGGACAGGAAAGGGAAGTGCCAAAACCAACAAAATAAGTTATAAAACTAGTATACCCTTGATCCCATTCAGTCAAAAATTACAAAAGTCATTTACAATGAAAACAACAATGATGATGAACACAAGAAATTAGACTACTAACATCATTACAGCATTACTTACAAAAGATATGCAAATATCCTGCTGATGTATACAAATGCTGACCAATATGAAAAAAAAAGTACCTCAATTTCAAAAACTCCATATGCAGCATCTCTAGCTCCATCTTGTTGAGGTATATATCCCCCAGCATTATATTGAGAATTCAAATCATTGCGCTTTCGCTTTCCTGACGGCATCGTGAAGAAGTCCTGGATTTTTTAAAGCATCATAACATCTAACTGTGATGGGTTTAAGTTAAGGTTTGACATTGTAGACAAAAATACTCGAAAAGTGTTTTGCAACAACAGTAACTATTTGCTAGCTATATAAAATAACTACCATAACTAGGTCTCTTCAAATTTTGACAACAGATAAAGCATTCTTCTATAAGACCTAACTGACTTGCTTACCTGTGTCAGAGGTTGATTTGAAGTCCCCCTGTCAGGCTCATCCCGCCCTTCCACATAAGCTACAGTAATACACACCTTCATTACTGCAATGCCATTTTAGTAAAAACTTTATCCTGAATTTTAATGAGACTCACCAACATTGACATCGAGTGGAGGCCTCGGGTTCATCCAAGGAGAAGGTGGTTGCTGTAGAAGATTATAAAAACAATATGAATGTACACATTAAAAAAAAGTTGCATGAAAATGATTTACTCTGAAGTCTGAATAACCTCTAGTCTGAACTCTGAACCGTCAACCTATTTTCTTTTCTCTGAAACCCCCACTCATTTTTCTATGACAACTTGTATTTGAAATATGATGTCTTCTGAATTTATTTTGCTTCCTTAACTTTTATTGTTGTTTAATTGTGAGTTTTACTCAAAACCTATGACTTTTATTGTTAATTGTGAATATGTCATGAATCTTAAGTGATATTTAAAAAATAGCATTTACATGCATATGAACACATGAATAAATAATTTATTCAATTTGTAATTTATAATGGTGGCCATGGGCTATACTGCTATAGCATTTTTAGGGTTGGCCGCAATTTGAGATTGATAAGTATGAAAACAATTGAAAATTACTTAGATATATGAAGGGGCAACCAGCAAAATAAGTTTTACCATAAATGGAGAAGGTCTTCCTCCTTTTCCATCAGCATTTCCACCTGTATCATTTCCAGAGGAGTAGTCACTTGGTCCAGCAGGAA